TTCCATTATGTGCTGAAGATAACAAAACGTGGTCATATAGACCCTAAAGGTATCGGGCACATATATGTATATATATATATATATATATATGTATAGAGATGTAGATATAGATATAGATATGTATATATATATATATACATATATATATATATTATACATACATACATAGACACATGTACAGATAGATGTGCTTGGGATGTGTCTTGTCTTGTGGTGCATCGTGATTCTTTGCCAGTGGCTGTCGTAGGCCAGGGCAGCAAGGCGCCGTGCAGAACCCAAGGGGCGGGCGATGTCACTTGTGGTGCGCCTTGGAATGAAACCCACCCCACACAAAGCTCAAAGCTCAACCCTGAGCCCTGAACGGCTGAACAAACATCCGACCTATGAAGGTACGTCTAGCTCCCCCTGCCGCTGTCAATTCACCACACCCCACAACAACCACACTCTCTAGCATGCATGGTTTATGCTTTGTAGTATGGGGGTCGCCACGACTACTGCAGTACTTAGCGCAGTAGGTGGATTTAAGAGTGATCAAGCCGACGATGATCACATGACAATCATCTGCGGAATCTTAGTTAACTGTCATCGTCATCATCGTCATCATCATCATGAGCGCCAGCGTCGCCATCATCCCAACAGTGGAAGAGAAATGACAGCTGCAGTCGGCCAGCCTGCTGGAAAGGATGTCGAGACCTGAGAACATAATGTGCCCTTGACAAGCTGATGCCTTAAAATCCCCTTCGTTCGGATGCGTTTTTGCCTTGGGGCCTTTGGCAAAAGATCTTTGGGGCTGAGGGATTTAGCGTTTCGGGCGCTTGGGCGTCGAGGATTCTCCGATCCCCGACCTGAGCCATCGGAAGCCGGTAGCTTCAAACTTCCCCGAGCCGCCCAAACCGTAGAGTTTCCTTTGTTTGGATTTCTCGGAAAGTCGGAGCCTTCAGCTACAAGCCAGAGTTAGGATTCGGAAGTGGAGAAGATCTCAACACCCTCCGACGTCCCATCATAGCCACCACATGCCACCACAAGCAGACTCGCAGTCCTCGCTCTAACCCGAAACCTCGAGCCGGAAGTATGCATAGACCCTACGACCCTCATCGCAATAAGGACAGCCTAAGCCTTGTACTCCAAAACCAAAAGTCCGAGCCCTACACTCAAAATACCCCGGGGCCTGAGAGCTCGGTGGCGATCAGGGTCGACAGGAGCAGCTGAAGCGCCACTGAGGCCGAGGAGGTCAGCCGCTCGAGGACGCAGCTCTGAGCAAGGGCGGCGTTTCATGTTTACTTCAATGCTGCGTTGGCCTTGTTTTATCGAATACTACATTACCATATCGGGCCTACAAGGATGTCTCAACATAACACGCGCGTGTCTTACAAGCCTGGCTGTTCCGCTTACGACTGCGAAGAACCTCTCTGCCTAACAGTGTGTAAATCTGTATTGGTAGTGGGAGGAGGAGTACTGAGTAAGCGCATCAGGAGCAGTAGAACCACGGTTGCACTGGGTCAAGCCGGAATGAGCTCCCGGCCACCCACCACGGGATCCAAATCATGATATTTCCTTGGGATTTCGCCATAATCTTGGGGTTCTAGAGTCTAGAGATTCTGTTCATTCGGAGATTCGGCGCCCCGCAAAAGAAACATGGCATCCTGTTGGGCCCAAGACGCTGAGTAAACCAAACTCCTTGAGAATTGTGGTCTTCTTCTTTGGAGACCGCTTCTTCTTGCGTGGCCACCACCTGAAGATCGGCTTGTGATTGAGGGTCAGTGGGTTTCGGGGGATTCTGGGGTGCGGTGTTGGGGTTTGCAGTCATCTATCCGCTGAAGAGGACAATTTACCAACATGACTACAGCAGCGCTATCTCAATGAGCACAGGAACAAACCTAATATACCCATAAGTTGCTCTTTCCTCTTGCCTCCAGCATGTTTCGTCCGAGCACATCCAACCCTGAGCATTTGTCACTATTCTGGCTTCACGCCACTTTGCACACTAAGAAAACTGGCCTACTGCAAGCAAACTTGACAATCATGTCCCCCGAGGTCCTCGTGAACAGCTTGACGCCATCCTTCGACTTCTTCGGCGGCAGCTTCCACTTGGGAACGCGTGGTCTGGCGGGTGCCGGCACCGGGCTCGCCCCCGGTGCGCCGGTCTGTGGCGCGGGCACAGGCGCAGGCGCCATAAGGGGACCCCGTTTTGCTGAAGATCAGGAATGGAGTGCTTCGGTTTGACATCAACGTCTTGAAAGGGCGGATTTTGGGGTTTAGGGTTTAGGGTTCCAGAACTCGTGCCTTCAGCTTCTGAAAGAGGGGGCCGAACCTAGTCTTGTTCGATCGTCGTGTTGTTCTACCAACGGTTATGCTTGGACATGCTCGGCCAAAGCGCCCAACATGTAAACACACATATACATATGCATACATGACTGCATACATACATACATACATAC